AAAAAAAAGAATGAAATAAATGTGAAACCAAAGTCTGTTGCGAGCTAAGAGGGCCCTTGTCATAAAACCCATTAACAAGATTGCAACTTTACTCGTTTAAAAGAGGAAACATCGAAAGCCCAGAAAAAAATAACAATCTTTTCTTTACAAACAAGAATAATTCGCAAGAATCAAGAGTAAAAATGAAAAGAAAATTACATAGAGAGAAGAGGTAAAAGGGATAATTACCAGGACGAAGAAGATGGAAAGTGAAAGGCGAAACATTTGCAGCAGATCTCTATTGTGAACTCTATTTCTCAGAGTTCAAAGAAAACGAAGATAAAAGAGACGAAGAGGAAGGACAAGAATAAAAGAACAGATCTTGAAAAGAGAAATTATAAGGTTAAATTTCACTTCGTTTGAGGCTTTGAGCAATGGTTAAAGCCGTAACGAAGATTATGCTGTGTAGTGACTCGTGGTTATTTAACTGAGTTAGCTCGGGAGTTGCAGAGTTCAAGGAAAAGAGAGTGTGTGTGTGTGTGTGTGTGTGTGTGTGTGTGTGTGAGAGAGAGAGAGAGAAGAGAGAGATGGGGGAGGGGGCTAGGTGGTGTCGGACTGTCTTTAAATCGAATATCGATAGGATTCTTTGTTTTAGGCTTTTTTGCTGCATGAAATGTTTTTCCTTTTTATGTAAATTACCTTTTCATTTTTCAAAACTTTTCTTTTTTCAAAAGATAATTCATTTTTCAAAACTAAAAAAAAATCAAAATAATCACAATCAATTAGAATTAAACACATTCATTTAAATACATATATAAGACTCATTATCCACTCAGTCAATGTAAATTTTTATATTAAATTCTCAACAAAATAAAATTTAATATTTTTAAATTATAATAATAAATTTTAAATGTATGAAAATGAAAGAACATTACACGACCAAAATAACTTAAGTTAAGATTACATAAGAAAAAAAAAGTAGTACAATTACAAAAAGTATTTTTTTTAATTGTTGAAAAATGGATCCAAATATGCTTAACTTAATCGGCACGAAATTGATGATGTATTGTGTTATCTCGTATCTCTAGATGAGGGAGAAGTGTAAAAATAAGGTGCATTTATAGACAAAGAATGAGAGATAGAAAATATAAGTTATCCATATATATTGAGAACTTTGATATAGATAAAATCTAAATTTAGTAATATTGGGAAGTATGATATAGATAAAAAAAAATAAGTTAAAAATATAAAAAGAATAATAACATAGTTAAACAATTTCATTTAAAACAAAAAAAAAAAAAACGTAAAGATTTCAGGCGTTCAGCCCATTGAACGATCCATGGGCCCCATTCAAATAATGAATGCCCACATTCCACTTAACGCGAATTGAGCGTTCAAACGAGGCATTTTAACGAGGCGATGTGGGTGCCCTTATAGCTAGTACAACAAAATTCAAAATAAATCATAATCATTATTTCAACTATAGAACTAGTTTTAGTCTCCTTTTTGGGAGTTGGTAGTAGTTTTATTATGTGGTGTGTTGTGTTTGTGTTTTTCTAGCGTTACTAGGTTCGGCTATAGGCTATCTTCTCTCACAGTCTTTTCCACCTGTATTAGAATAAGAAATACATGCATATGGCTTTTCAAATAAAAAAAATATTAAAAAATTTTAAAAAATAAATTGTATTACTAATTCTATTTTAAATGACTAGAACATTAGAATATTTTTAATTTTATTATATTTTTTAAAAGAATTGATATATTTATTTTTTTGTCAAATGAATTTGAGTTTTTTTAAAACTCTAGTTATTACATTTAGTTAAAATGGCATCATGTGTTATACAAGACCATGATAATTTTTTGTCCATTTAAAAGTTACACGAGATTTGTCAAATATTTTAGTTTTTGTCACACAGATTGTATAACATGATGTACATAATAAAAGCTCACTTATTTAAATGCAACTACTTGTGATAAATATTTTTTTTAATATTACTTTAATATATCCACTGACACTTAAATTTAGGGCATTTTAAATCAAATCAAAAAATCCAACAACACAAAAAAAATTATATATTCAAACATGTTCCTAATAGACGTCTCATTGTTATAATTTATTTAATAAAAACATCCTTTGTTTTTTATAGTATTATTTTTTTATTGATGTATTCTTTTTACTAGTATGTAACCCGTGCGATGCACGGGCTAGTACATGTTTTGAAAAATTTTAAAAAATTACAAGGTCATTAATTAATAAGTTATTATAATACGTATGATATTCATAAAGTATACATAAAATCGTCATTGGTAAAAGGTTATACATTATTAAAAACCTCCTTATATACAACGTTATTAGTTTGATTACTGGGTAACTCATCGTCCCCACAAACTAATATTTTCAACCTCTTCCTATTAGTAACACGTGAAACAACGACGTATAGCTTGCCATGACTAAAAACAGGTTTTTCAAGAACAGTCCAACATGTGATAAAGACTGACCCTAACTCTTGTTTATGGTCATGGCATAAGAAACCATAAGGGAAAATTGCCTCCGTTGGAACTTAAACGGAACCCTAACATCAGAAGGAGTTATGTTCATTCGAGGAATCAACACCTTCTCACCTGCGTGATCTCCAGTCAATATCCGACATTCAAGAACATGCGGAGAGAGCTTCGTAACAACCAAACATGTGCCATTACACAGACCCATAGAATGGTCCATGTTTCGCAACAACATGACCGAAGTTACTATCTTCAAATGTAACTCATGGTTCGGCGTTCCTGAACATTTAATGCTATTCAAGAAATCGGGTGTGTGGAGATCAACCAAAAAGCCATTGCCGGAATCCGACTTAGACGTACTGTCAGAGCTCAAATATGTACGACCTTCAGCAGAATTCATATCCGACATGTATTGATTGATAGACTCAACGACCTCCAAAGTAGGCGCTAATATAGCTTTGTCCTTTAAATAACTTGGATCGTCAGTTGCATTTTTTAACATATAAATCATTAATCGAAATGAATGAGAGACGTCATCTCACGATAATAAATATAAGAACACTAAAATTCATAATTCAACGACATGGAATGACAATAAAACATAATAAAATTAATAAAACAATAAATATATTACAAATAATAACCTTGAAGGACATGGAATAACAATGAAATTCATAATGTAAATTGAAATTCTTATCAAACCCTAAAATAACATAAATATCTCACGCTCCTTGCTAATGTTGAGGGAGAAGATCACCATTTTGGGGGAAAATCCCACCATATTTGATAACACGAGTTCTTTTGTGAAGCACAAGTTTCCATATGTTGGTTATGATATCTTTCTTCCCATGATTAAATTCAACGACATAGTTGCTGATTGCATACACCTCGCCTTCGTTCAGTACACCTCGAAATGCTCCCATATTTGTAGAATGTACTATGCCTTTAATAAATGCACCCTACAAAATAAATTTATAAATATTAATTAAAATAATTTTTTCACAAAAAAAAATATTCGGAATTCTAATAAAAATAAATTTATAAAATAAATTATAAATTTGATATTACTAATAAAAATATTTACCTGTTCATCATGAAACAATATATGGAATGCGTTCCAGCTCTCTCGTTCGTGATGCGTTTCAAATATTCGGACTGCTTTCAATCGCAAATAAGGTTTGTTTGTACTACTCACGGAATTGAGTGTATCCCAGACCGGCAGCATGATATTATTGTTGTGTTCTAAAATTTATCTGTATAATTTTTTTTTCTCTGAACGTTGTGAATGACGTGAAGAAATAATTGTGGTAGTGAATATCCTTTTATATACGTTGGTACCGAAAAAAGTGATCCTGCCGTTGAGGATTTCTCAAATAGTACAGAAAGAAATGCCCCTTAATGGTGAGGTAACACGTTCTTGCCCCGGACCAGAGTTCGCAGGAATACACCCTGAGCTACTTTGATGAAAATTATTTAAATAAAAAGATATTGTTGCGATTTTATTATATAAATGATTTTTAGATTTATATGGAGGCTTAAAAATAGGAGATTTATTCCATAGTATATATCTATTGCAATCAATGCTCCATGTTATGTTAATGTAGCAAAAAAAATCGAAAATCTTAGCGTGAAATAATGATTTATTCCATAAACAATTGCTGATCGAAAATAAATAAGAGCGATTTTAAGAAATTATGTATATTTTAAAGAAAATATATATATATTTTAAAGAAAAACGAATATATCTATATTTTAAAGAAAAACAAATATTTGTACGAATTTATGTAGCTTCCAAAAAATTCTCCTTATTGTACCGAAATCCAAAAAAAATCATTACCATTTTTATCGGTTATTTCAAAACCAACTGATTTATAGAGTTTTTTTTAAATATATTTATTAAAATAACATTGAGGGTGTATAGATATATACGAATATTTGTACCTTTAAATTAATATCAAAAAGAATATTTGGTAAGTTAATTAATGCTTGTTTGTACGGATATTTGTATAGATATATATGGATATTTGTACCTTTAAATTAATATAAAAAAAGGAAATTATGTGCAATTAATGCTTGTTTTGTTAAATTATTATTTATAGGCAGTAATTAATGTTTTTGGCGGGAAATAGTTTCTAAAAATTAATTAAGTTAATCCTTATTATATATTAATAGATATGTATTTTTATTTATATTAAAATTTTAAATGTAGAAATATTTATTTAAAAAATACCGATATTTTCGATCGACTAATGTTGACCGGTTTGCTAGAAAACATTTTGTTCAAGCGTACCGGACTGGTCGATAAACCAATTCCCTAACCGTCCGGTCTGGTCCAGTTTTGAAAACAATGGATAAATCATGATAAATATTACTTATATATTTAATTTATAATATAATTGTAATATTATTTCTTCGTGCATCGAACGAGCCACGTACTAGTAAATATTATAATATTCATAAAAACTGTAAAGGTTATGTTTTAAAATTAGACTTTTTTTTTCCGAAACGATAGAGATATTATATATCAAAACGCACAACTGTGCAAAAGCAGCCCAAGGCTGAATATTACAACCCAGAACTAAAAACTGAGAGGACGGATCTAAAGTCCGCCTAGAACCTCGCTAGCCACGCTAGAATAGAAAACACACAGCACACAACTAAAAGACACAAACACACCAACTACGATCGCTCCCCACAGGAGAATAGAAACGCCCCTCACAGGGGAATCAGAACTGGGGGTTTTAAAATTAGACTTAATTATGTGATTTGTTATTTTAGTAAAC